CAAGCGCCCAACGCACCCAACGCCTGTTTACAATAATATGCGCATGCTCATGGGGGCGGGTGCACTTTAAAAAAAAAAAAATGTTTTACATTTTATTTCATCTTTTTTTAAAATTTTACTTAAAGGATAATTAAAGCCTCCAGTTTTTTTGCATATATCTACTGCTAGGAAACAGTAGATATATGCAAAACGTGTAAAAAAAAAACACTTTGAAAAGGGTTAATACTTACGAGCGTCTTCCCCGCGCGTTCCCGTCCGAAAATGTGAAAATTCTCTGGCAGCCGCAAAGCATCTTGGGGCGGGCGCATGCGCAGATCACATTTTCAGCCGGGACGCGAGGAGAGACACAAGGTAAGTCTATGGACGCGTGCACCCGCATGCAGACACCGTGGGACAGGAAGTGCCAGCAAGCTCAGAGGAGTCAGCGCTGGATCGGGGACCCGCTGCAGTGCTTGAGGAACAGATGAAAAGGACAGGAAAGAAGAAGATTTGATTAAGAAACATCATAAGTGCTGACATTAACATTGGGGGAGGGAAAAACATTTTTGACTTTGTCACATTAACTGCCCCCTGTGTGACAGCAAGTGGTGGCAGGTCCTGTTTATGGTGACACTAGGGGTCAATTAGACCCCTAATGTCACCTTTCCACTCCAAATAAGCTATTGGAGTGCACGCTCCAATGGCTTATTGCCCGCCTTCTGTAGCCGAGCTATGACATTTGTCGGTGATGGCAAAAGGGTTAAATGATGGCAGCCATTCTGCTATAAATGAAATACAGGTGGCACAGCAATTTTAAACATTGTTAACAGGTGGGTTTTTGCGCAATAATTGGAGGATGTTCCCTGTATACTGCCTACATCTTGCAATTGCTGTCCACAAGTGTGGACTGTTCAGGCACTGGATGATATAATTTCCTTTAGGAAATTATATCATTCCCTACCCAAAAGAGATCTCTTCCATACATGCACACACTAATGCTTCTCTATTCCCTGCACCCCCAGTACATGTACCCATCCCCAGACCTTCCAAACCCACATCACAATAGAATCATACTCTTTACCCACAAATCGAAGCATTAACATCTCCCTCTAAATTCCTCGACTTTCCTCATTGCCAACTGTCTATCCTTTCAAACTACTCATCCTCAGCCATCCTGAAATGATGGCCTGCAACTGGTACCCCAGGGTGCACCTCTACACCTATCATGTCAATGAATCTACTTCTACCTACACATACGCAGTTTCTTTTTAAAAACCAAATTTACACACTTTAAAGAAAAAAGTAATAGATTATATATATATATATATATATATATATATACATATACATACACACATTTATTTATACACACACACTGTATACACACACACACACACACACACGTGTATGAGAGATGCATGGTAGTATGGGCAAAATGCCAATAGTAGAAAATAAAATACCCATTAGAAAATGTGTTGCATCCCCAGCTTCTCTCCTCCCCGCTGGGTGCCGGCTGCAAGCTTCAGTCTCCGTCTCCTCCGATCCCCCCTGGCTGTGCCAGCAGAGGCAGTGGGGATCGTAAGGGGCACAGTGCCGATCCAGCTGCCGGCGCCCAGTGGGAAGGAGAGAAGCTGTCAGTACCGACAGTGTCAGTGGGGAGGAGGAGAGCTGTGGGATGGGGGAACGGTATGTGAAATATTTGCTGATCTTTCTATGTAGTGCTCAAAAAATTGGTGTGACCAGTTCTGATCACACTGATGTTTGTAAAAAAAACCGAGGACATAATATTTAGTTACTGTGTCCCTAATTATGATTGAATATAAATTGCTCTACATCACGTCCTTTTCATCTATTAGCGTGGACATAATAACACTATCTCAATTTATGAATGGACAGGAGCACTCAGTATAGAGGCTTCCTGTTCATTCATAACAGGGGCTGCAGAAAAAGAGATTGAGGACTCTGTGTCCGCAATCTCTTTTTCTGTTTCAAAAGGGAAATATCGGTGGTCTGTTAAAAGAGAGATTGATACATAAATATTCAAAAAAACTGTTTTAAAAAGGATCTTCCACTTTATTTTCCCATGTAAATGACCATCTTGTATCTAGAAATTTACCATTCAACAAAGTAGAATGCATTAGCTAGTAAATTAGTACAAGGGATGACATTAAAAACTTCAAACTTCTTCAACTGCCCTGCATGATTTGCTTTAAGAAAGGAATGGGATTCCCTCAATTTAAGTTCAGTTTTCATTAACCTACTAGTTGAAGGTTTAAAGTATGTGCCCTTTGTTAGCAGAGCTGGGTCCTGGGAAATTTTCCAATGTGCATTTTCGTTTGCACACAATGTTTTTTACCTCCCTGGCTACTTGTACTTTGAATGGTTTGCCATTTTTCTTTTTCTTTTGCTAAGACTACTTGAGAGAAATGATACAGGATACTGCCTGTTCATGTTTTTGTGATGTACAATGTCTGATAGCATGTGTTTTTTGCATTAGCCCAAGTACTGTTTTGTATGTTGCAGAATTGTAGACATCATGAACAAATTGTTGATGCTTCCCACTCAAGTACAATGTACTTTTTTTTCCTCAGAATTGTGAGAACATTCTTGTATTTTTAAAAAGTTTTTGTTGAGTATAAAATAAAGTATATTTCTGAAAAAAAAAAAAAACTTCAAAATGATGCAATAAAATTTATTCATGAAATGCATAAGAATAAAAGCAAGAAAGCCTCAAGAATGCAAAAGGTATTTGTGACTGTTGTTGTTGGAATCTTAAACTACCTAATTTTCCCTTTCTGATTCTATTTATATTTCTGGTTTAGAATGATTTTCTTTTTTTGTCCTCGCTGAAAGGAAAGTAGTACGTAAAATACTTATGAGCAAAGGAAACAGTACTTGAAAAAATAGAAAAAGCAAACATGTATGTACGTCTTTGGAAGCAAAGTGGTGAAATATGTAAGTATGTAAATACTGATGCAGAATCTATACAAAAGAGCAACTGTTTCAATTTTGGTCATAATGGCTGTGGTCATCACGTCGTCGAAATTCCTTTATGTATTCCCTTCTTTAAGGGAGTCATTTATCTCTATCCTGAATGCATGTGTCAGCCTCGAGGATGAATGCTGATCATAATGCTGATCATAATATAAATGAGTTGTTCAATGGTCTGCAATATGTCATTGAGCACAGACAGATGCATACCTGGTGCTGAAAAATGGTCAGTGTCTGAAGTTATTAACGCTAAAGAGAACAAACCCTGAATCACAAGGCAATACTAGTCTGCCTATTATACTGATACAATCATCCATCTGCACAGTAAGTAAAACAGGCAACCAGAAAAACAAGAACACTGAGATTCTCCTAGTTTGATGGCATATCAGCATCACTCCCATAATAATGCTTTAAGGTAAGTTCTACTTAAGCACCATGCTCACACCCAGACAGGTTCCTCCAGATGTGGAGAGCAAGCTGGCTCAATAATGAGCCTTCTGAATTAAAGGAGAACTATGGGCTTAAGCCTTTTCCCCATAGTTCTCCTTAGGGTAACGGGAGGACACAAACTAGCGTCCTCCCGTCACCCTAGGCTCAGTATACCGCGAGCTGTAGCTCGCGGTATACTGGAGACGCCGCAGTGTACCGCGAGCTGCTGCTCGCGGTATACTGAAACGCCGCAGCTGAAGCGGATCCCGACAATTATGCTGGGATCCGCCCAGCTGCATAACTGACAGCTGGCTCTGCCTATCTAGAGGCCGAGCCAGCTGTACCCGCCCCCTCCCCCGTCTGTTCCGCCAGTCAGCGCTAGCGGATCGGAGCGGGGGGAATCCAGCCCCTCGCTATGTCACGGCAGAGAGCATTATATAAGAGTTTGCTTAAAAGTGCTTTAATGAATGGACCTACTGAATCTTACAAACAATAGCAAACAGGTACACTTTTTTCTTGCATTACATAACTATGACAATAATTGGATATATAGTTTAATAAATAAACATCCTTACCTTGCCAATCTGCGAGGGTCAGTTTCCTCCGCCTGGAGGTTTTTTTTACCAGCATTGCCCAGTGAATTTAGAGAGATGACGGATTTTTGTTCTTCAAGAAGGAGGTCACGGAAAGACTTGTGCTCTGACGCAGACTGTACAGAGGAGGACCTGCAAAGATTTATATAGCCTCCTTGGTTAAATTGCCTTATTTTATCTTTATCTCAACGATTTGACTTTTTAAAAGTAAAATCTATCAAATAAACACTACTGCTCTGAAAGCTTCATCTTTACTGCACTTTATCTGTCCAATCATGTTAGACTGCACTTAAAATAACAGATGAGAAAATGGTTTGCTATAGTCTCCATATGCTCTCTTTTCTTTGTCTGTTTCTTGTAAATAAGCCACACAGATTTATACTGTTAAAGCAAACTTGACATCATATAACCCAAATACTTTGTGCCAATTATAAATGTATATATAATAATATACAATTACTATTAAATTGAGCTGGGAGTCACTCTGACATGATTATGCTGTTTCAATATCCTTCATGTGTCACATTTTTATAATCATAGGGACAAGGACAATCCTCCCCACTGGGGAGGATTCCTCTCAGCTGCAATCCCTGCGACAACCTGCATGTCTGTGCATGACAGGTGGTGTCATAAGGGGAGGAAAGTCCTAACAGACAGCAATACAATTCTGGCAGAGGTTCAAAATCGTCCTCATCAATGTAAAAAAAAAAGCTGTCTGGAGAAGGCTGTAAGTGAAGGTCTATTGTTTGAGCAGGCATGAATTGGCTATCCAGCGATATGTCTGCATTAGCAGGGTACTATAAACTGTATGGCCAAATGGCCTTGGCCAAAAGTAGACTGGCCAAAAGTAGAGTAGCCAAAAGCTTCAGATACTGCTCATCAATGCGTGCAGGGGATAGCAATCAAAAAGGATTCAAAATAGTCAAATCAGTTGCTTCTCCCACCCAAGAGCCATCGTCTGTCAGGCATCTGCCGATGGGAAAAGCACTTTAAATGTTATCTTATGTTAACAGACTAACTAAATCTAAAAAAAAGTCTAAGGAAGCACATAACATAAGAACATGATACATGTAGGACATATACTAAGCAGACATCAATTCTGGGGCTCTGATCTAGCAATCCTACAGGCTAATTTTGAGTGTTCCCACCCAACATTTGTGTGTTCCAGAATCTCCTGTTGCATTCTCCATAATGTAAAATAAGTAGAAAATCCCCCTCATGATGCCCAACAGTGTCTTTGAGTGATCTTTAAAAGTTGTCAGGTGATTTAGCTTTCAAGTATCTACCAAAAACTGAAATATCAGCTCTAAGTGGACAGATGCTTTAAACGATTACCATCTGCCTGCTGACTAACCATGCATCAGCACACAATAGACTACAAAGTACTGTTCTTTTAGTCTAACATTGTTGTTTGAAACTAGATTTATATACACTAGCAGCTATACAGTTTATTTGTAGTGCTCATTATTAGAGTCAGGGGGACCATTGTATCCCATTTTATTTAACAGTGTTCCAGTGAATAAATTGTATAAAAGCTTTAAACACCAGCACAATTGCACATTATCAGTCTTTCCGGAGAAACTAGAAAAGCTCCCCTGGAATTCACACAGAGATGGAAACTTCAGAATTTCACCTAAGATGACTTATCTCTGCCTAACCAGCCATGGAGGAATTTATTTCTGAACTTAAAAGATGGAAGAAAAAACAGAGGTTTCTCCTGGAATGGGAAGTCTGAGGTATTCGTTGTCCTTACTCATCTTAAATAAAAAGCCAGTCAAGTTCCCACCCTTCTGGCACATGACAACGCCAGAAATGCTGCTGGATTTCCATAGCAAGTATTTCATTTCAATGGGTTTCACAAGTTGCACAGCACTTAAATTATGAATGGAAATGAGAGCTGCCTGCCAGAATAACCCACTGATTGTTAATGCACACACTAATTCAACTGAATAAACAGGGTCTGCACAGTTATAATCTCTATTTTGGCTAACCTGCACACAAGGAGAAGAAAAACAGGATTTTTGTATTCACTGTAAAATAAAATCCTTTTCTTGGAGTCCAAGGGAGACACAAGAAACCTTTTAACTTTGGGTTAAACTGTCACCTACAGGGAGGATTGGATACTGTAAAAAAAAAAAAAAAAACTGTAGGGCAGCCCAGGCTAACCCCCTCCAACTACCAGCATGCCCCAGTTTTGTAGCAAAGCAGTAGTGAGAACATGATCTTGAACAAAGAGGGGTGGGACCTGTGTCTCTTCAGCAAAAGGATTTGGTTCCTGCGAAGATTTAGAAACCATCTAAACCAGTGTAATGTCTTCACAGTCAATGACATGTTGTTCGACAGAGCCCGCGCCAGGAGGTCATCTAAGTATCCAGCAATGGAGAAGCCATGAGAGCACATTAGGGCTAATACTGGGGCCAGCACCTTGGTGAATGACCCAAGGCGCAGAGAAGAGGCTAAAAGGGCTGAGCCACAAACTTGTAGCACAGGGGCCCCACAGCAAAGTCTAAAAAATAATGAGGCACTGGAAAAATTGGTACGCATCCTTGATGTTCACAGAAAACAGAACGTCTCCAAAAGGGAGTGGATAACACACCTGGTGACTTCCAGTCGAATTTTCTGAGATTGAATAAAGAAATTGAGAACTTTGAGATCCAAGTTGGGGCCTATACACCCTTTGAGTTTGTGAATGGGTTGGAGTAAAATCCTGTAAACCTTTCTGCTATAGTTAATGGGGCAGTGACAACCTGGCCCATGAGACCCGAGGGGGGCTCGATGGCGATCTCCTGATATTGTATGTGCAGTAAAACAAGATAGGAACAGGAAAGAAAACTACAAGTTTGTACAGAGGGGATGGGATACTACCTCTTGCACCCAAGCATCTGAAATGCAAGCTGTCCCAGTGTCTGCAGAGGGTAAAAAACATCCCCCACACTGGAAATTGGGGGTTCAACGTTATGCAGAGGTAGGCTTGTCTGGGGATTTGGCACACTTTGAGGCTCAGACCTTGCAGGTGGACAGGCAGCCACACTTGAGGGATCTTAATAAGGCATGGGGAAAAAAAGGGAGACAAATTTGTTCTTTAGGCTTCTTCTGCTGCGGAAGATGGGTGCTCTTGCCAACGGTAGCATGCTTGATAATGGCCATGCTGCTCAGATGCATCTTGCATGCGGGTTCTGCAGTCTAGCACTTTAACCAAAGCATCCTACACATGTGTACTAACAGGAGATCCATGTGAGAGATACGCCAGGATTTCTTCAGAGTTAAAGAGGTATTCCAACTGCTTATCAGTAGAATCCTTAAAAGGCACACGTTCCCTGTATACCTTTGAGGCTTTCCTGTTAAGATGGGCCACTGGCAGATCCAGTGGCCACAAAGTCTTATGTGACTGCAGTAGAGGCCCCTGTCAGCAGAATAGGGGACCCAACCTCATCCAACGATGCTAAGGGAGACTTCTAGATAGTAGATTCCATAACTATAGGGTCAGTGGATTCCAGAGTACAGATGTCAGTGCCCTCAGAAAGAACAGATTAAACATTAGGAGAGTAAGTTGGAGTCATTGGCACAATGGGCATGTCTGTGTATGCATTGCAACTGTATGGTGGGGATGCAACTAAATTCAAGGTACTAGGCAAGGCATCAGACACACACACAAACAGCAGTAGCAGAGACAGGGCAAGCACTAAGGCAATGCCACAGCTCTGAACCTGAAAAGCACTCCGTGATGACTTTTACCAGTAACTGAAGTCTGGAAAGCACCAAAAGTGGAAGCCAGTGCCTGAAAGACACATTCGATGCTAGTCCTGCAAGTCCAGTCGAGTTTGGGTACGACACTCCAAAATCAGGCTGAAGAAAAGCCAATCTGGATAGCTACCATGCAAAAAACAAGTTCAAGCAGCAATGTAGTAAGGGATCTTGATTGAAGTCAATGAAAAATAATCCAAGAATAAAAATGAAGAAAAAAGGCCAGCAAAGATTGGTTAGACTGTTCCAAGCAGAGATGAACAAAAGAAATCCATCCTCCTAGAACACTAGCATAAAGCTGAGGCATGCTTGGTAGAGAAGGGGTTATCCTGGTCTGGCTTATCGATTTTTCCTTTTGCCAGTGTCCAATCCTTCAGTAGGCAGCAGTATAACCAGATAGTATCTAAATTTCTGTGCCCCTCCATTGACAAGAAAAAAATGTGTTTATATTGCGGTCTGTCTCTCCATTTGGGAGATTTCCCCTTGCTTCCTGTTCAGGCACCCATCAAATAGACAGGAAGTAGGGAAGAAATCCCTGAAATGGGGGGCAGCAACAAATCTGGCAGAGGTTTTCACCTTTAAAAAGGTGTCCGGAGGATTCAACACAGTATTTTACCTTTATTTTAGCAAACATAATCTTTCAGAACTACCATTACTCCGTTCCTTAAAAGTTGAAGGTAATTTTGTACACTACTTGTCCTAATACACTTACTGTTATTTTCTCTGAGAAACTGTACTGCAGTTTCACTGCTTCTTTTTAGACGTTCCTTGAACTGAATACTGGTAAAAGCTGCGGTGAAAACGCATTTTGCCTCTATTTTATTTTAGCTTGCTGCATCTACACCTCATATCACTGCTTGATAACCAATTTGCAACAATCACAAGACTGTGGATAGAATCACTGAATATACAAAAACCCCAGCAATCCTGATACTCAGGTCACGGGACAAGCATTCTGACGAATCACTTGTGTCCAACTTTGAACTTCGGGATTAATGAACTGGATATTTTAGTATAATAGCACCCGTGGTTTAATGGCACCCTTGGTATAATGGCACTCCACAATAGGGATTCAGAAAAGTCGATCTGGATAGCTACCATGCAGAAACCAGTTCAAGCAGCAATGTAGTAAGGAATCTTGATTGAAGTCAATGAAAAAGAATTCAAGAATAAAAATGAAGAAAAAAGGCCAGCAAAGATTGGTTAGACTTTTCCTTAGGCTTGGGTCACATTAAACGTGCATTAAAATCCACAAGCAAAAGTTGGTTAGTGGTTTCAAGTAGTTCCTGGAAAGGTGGGCTTCCGAAGAAACCTTTTATAACATAATACAATTAGGAAAACAGAACTGCAGTAGGAAGTGTCTTGTTTGAGAAAATATTTAATTTAACCGCTTGAAGACCAGGACCCCCTTCCTGTCCAGGCCATTTTTCAGTGTTCAGCGCTGCGGTACTTTGACTGACGTTTATTTCGTCATGCAACGCTGTACTGAAATGAATTTTATACAATTTTTTGGGGACAGATAGAGCTTTCTTTTGGTGGTATTTAATCACCACTGGGGTTTTTATTTTTTACTATATTCAGGAGAAATTACTGAAAATTTTGAAAAACAAAAGTTTTTTTTTACATTATGTTATAAAACAACTAATATTACCCCCTTTTTTGGTAAAATATAAAAGATCGGGTCACGTCGGGTAAATAGACACCAAACATGTCAAGCTTAAAAATTGCGCGCACTCGCGAAATCGCAAAAAACTAGCATACCCAAAATTGGCCATAGGCGACGCTTTAAAAGCTTTTACAGCTCATCAGTTTAGTGTTATCAGTGATTGATGGCCATAGAACTATTGCTCTTATTGTGACGTTCACGGCGATATGTAACATGTGCGGCGTAATGGGCACAATCGTTGTTTTCGCAGAGGTATGCGCACCTGACGCATGTTTACATGCGTGTATGTAGGGGGGGACTTTAAAAAAAAAATGTTTTTTTAAATTCTTTTTTATGTGTAACTTTAAAAAATTTGGGGGGAAACTTTAAATATTTTTCCTTTTTTTATAGAGGCTGAGAAACCCCTCTATGTCATAGCAAAAGAGGTGACAGGTCCTCTTTATGGAGACATCAGGGGTCTCCAAGACCCCCTGTCACCTAGGACCCCCCTGAAGAAGCTGATGAAGCAGAGATCTGCTTCATCAGCTTCTCTCCAGCATCTGAAGCTGGAGAGTGACACAAGAATGCGGAAGTGATGTAATATACACCACTTCCGCATTCTGACAGCGGAGAGGGGACCGGAGGGAG